TCTACACCTCATCTTTCAGTAAAACTGCAAAAATATTAAGCTGTCACTGTTTTACTACTGATAAGATACACAAGCAGCTGTTTCAGCTAAAATTATTTATCAGTCTGTACGAAATGAGAAATCCGGAACTTAGTGGACAATGAACATCTGTGAATCCAAACATTTCCCTAGTGTTGCTATGTCTTAGAGCTTCTACCACGAAGCCAAGAATTTACATCAAAAAACTGACAATACACACACAGGAAACTGAAATGTAAAGGTTATACCAGCACAGGTAATGAGGATCAGAAACAATCATCAGAAATACAGTCATTGTTAACACACATGGCTATTCTTGAAACTGGAAACTGCTACTGAGCACCCAAGCAGGAATATCCAACAGAGGTTTAGAGCAGTCCTGAAGCAGTGCTTCAACCTGCCCAAATGCAAACAAAGTTTTTGAAACGGAGTTCTTACAAGTACAATGCTGTAATATTAAAAACTGAGGTGATAATAAACATCAGTTAAAGCCTCTCTCAAATGTTTTCAAGTCTAAACATTTGTCAATTTGATTATGCTTTTTTTCCTGAATTACTTCATTTTAACATTTTTTTTTTCTTTCATTATTTTAATGGATGGTGATACAATAAATGAGATTACTCCAGATTACTCTGGTTTTGATATTACTGCTTGAGTAATGGGGCCTGTTTTGCCCATGGCTGTAATTGGTGAACAATCTCCCTCCTCTAATCTCAACATCCCCTCCGCCCCCAATGACCAGTGTTTTATAGATTCACAATAAATTGTACAGTGTTTGTGCACATAAAATACAGAATCTCAACATTAATGCTACATATAATTGACTGATCAAATTCAGTACTTCAGCAAAGAAACTATATTGTCACATGCTTCAGATTATTCTTCCAATGTATCTTCAAGTCTTTTCTGAGATCACACCTTATAAACTCTTCTATTAAAATACTGATTGGCAAGACAGAGGTCTTAATTTTCATCTCTTCTGACTGCAAATAGATGT